ATAGTTTTAGATTCACAACCAAATTGAACAAAGTATAGAGAATTCCCACGTACCTCCCCTCTCCACATGCTCACCTTCCCCCACTGTCAACATCCCAAAATACAGTTATATGCTGTTAAATCGATGGATCTACACTGGCATCATTATCAACCAAAGTCCATTTTACATGAGGGTTCATGCTTGCTGTTGTATATTCTGTGGGTTTGGACAAATGTATAATGGTGCATATCTGTCACTACAGTATATCATATAGAATGGTTTCACTGCCCTAGAAATCTTGTACTCTACCTATTCATCCCTTCCTCCCCACAACCCCTAGCAATCACTTATCCTTTTACTGTCTCTATAGTTTTGCCTTTTCCAGCATGTTATATATTTGGAATCATACAGTATATAGGCTTTTCAATTGGCTTCTTCCACTTAGTGATATGCATGTAAATTTCCTTCATGTTCTTTCATGGTTTGATAGCTCATTTCTTTTAGCTCTGAATAATATTCCATTGTCTCAGTATACCACAATTTATCTATCCATTCACCTACTGAACAACATCTTGGTTGCTTCTAAGTTTTGGCAATTATGAATAAAGTTGCTATAAACATCCCTGTGCCAGTTTCTCTGTGAGCATAAGTTTTCAACTCATTTGGGTAAATACCAAGGAGTGCAATTGTTGGGTCAGAGTAATTGCTAAGAGTATGGTTAGTCTTTACTTTAAAAAACCTGCCAAAGTGTCTTTCAAAGTGTTTGTACTATTTTGCATCCCACCAGCAATCAATGAGTTTCTGTTGCTCTACATCCTTGCCAGCATTTGGTATTTTGGATTTTCACCATCCCAGTAAGTGTGTAGTGGTATTTCACTGTTGTTTTAACTTTCCATTCCTTGATGACGTAATGTTATCTTTTCATATGCTTGGTTACCATCTCTATATCTTCTTCTGTGAAGTGTCAGTTCATTGTTTTGCCTGTTTTTAAGTGGATTTTTTTTTTTTAGTGTTGAGTTTTAAGAGGGTTTTTCTGTGTTTGTGTATTTTGGATACCAGTCCTTTATCAGATACATCCTTTGCAACTATTTATCTCATTCTGAATCACTACATTTTATGTCATCTATTTTATAGGTTCAAGGATTATATTTTTAAATCTCTTTTTCTTTTGGAATTCTGAGAGCCCTGAGTTTTATTTATTTTAGACTAAATTCAAAGCAACAACTAGCTTTTGAATGGCAGAGAGCAAAATCAGTCAAACAAATGGTAGTTACTATGCTCCCTTCACAAACATTTTGAAACACAGGTTGCCTTATTTGTTGTGTTTTCTAGCACACTGAATAAGGGATTATCATCTTAAGCAATAAAACTTTCTATTTGAATTCTTTTGGATGGATATGTTTATAAAATAGGTTACCTGCCTACTTACATTGCAAATACTGAGCATAACTGAACTTCTTCATTATGACTTTAAATCATAAGATAAGAGAATACTCTAAAAAACAAGAATAAGATGCTATGAAAAAAGAAAGAATCAGAGAATAAGAAGAAGCTCCTGGAAATTAAAAACGTTATTATAAATAAATTCTGCTAAATAATAATTCTGCTAAGAAATAAGGTCAAGGAAATTGCTCAGAATATAGAACAAAAGAGACAAAGAAATGGAACACTGCGGGAAAAAAATCTTTAAAAATCTATTCAGGATATCTCCTATCCAATTAATAGATATTCACAAAATTAAACCAGAGAAAACACAAGGAAATAATTTACCAAAGAAATAATAAAGAAGTTTTCAAAAAATGAGAATACGAGGATTTCTAGCTTGACAATGGCTAGGCAGTGAATGGAAAATGATCCACACCAAAGAAATTGTGTAATTTTAGAACCCGAGGTTTAAAAATGAGATCCTAAAAGTTTCCTGGGAAGAAAAATTACATTACATGCAAAGGATCAGGAATCATAATGGTAATGTTATACCTTTTCAGGCTGTCAAACTTGAAGTAAAATAAAGACACTTTCAGGCATACAAATTCTCCCATTTATCTCCCATACACCTTTACTCAAGAGAATGTGTGCTATTAAAACAAGAGAGGGACCAGAAGAGAAAGACTCAGTTTCTAGGGGATCCAATGCAAGAAAATGTCAAAGGGAAATCCCAGAAAAAGCATCTATTGCAGGTCTAAGAGTCATTCTCTAGAGCAGAATGGGAGGATAGAGGCTCCAAGAGGGAAGCAAGAGGTGAGTGAGTAGAAAGGACACAAAATCTATGTATTTGATGGCATGGAAAGTGATATGAGATGTGTTCGTATTTTAATTATTAATAATAGGTATGTTGGAAAGTAACCTAATAAAAATGGGGTGGTTATTCATTTCAAAAAAACATACAGAAATGGAAGAGTAACCATGGTATTTTTGGCTCCACTGTGAACAACTTTTACATGGTCCTAATAATGTAATCAGCAAATACTGATCCAACTGTAGGGAAGGATAGTTTGAAAAGGGTGTAAGACAGCTTAGTTCTCATCTATCTTAAAGGAAGTGAATAGTTAATGCCTAACACACATATCATGAAACACTGATGTATTATTTAGAAACATGGAAGTGCATATCAGAAGAAACAGCTAAAATAATTAAGGTTGTTCCCTCTAGGGCAAGGGTGTCCAAACTTTTGCTTTCCCTGGGCCACAGTGGAAGAAGAATTCCCTTGGGCCACACATAAACTACGCTAACACTAACGGATAGCTGATGAGCTTAAAAAAAAAACAAAAACAAAAAAAAACCTCATAATGTTTTAAGAAAATTTACAAATTTGTGTTGGGCCACATTCAAAGCTATCCTGGGCCACAGACAAAAAAGTAGAGAGGTGGTTGCCAGGGGCTGGGGGCAGGGGAGACGTGGAGTTACTCTTTAATGGGAACGAAGTTTCAATTGGGGAAGATGAAAAATTTCTGGAGATGGATGGTGGTGATGGTTGTACAGCAATGCGAATGTATTTAATGACACTGAAATGTACACTTAAAAATGGTTAAAATGATGGCCAGGTGCAGTGGTTCACACCTGTAATTCCCGCACTTTGGGAGGCTGCAGCGGGTGGATCACCTGAGGTCAGGAGTTCGAGACCAGCCTGGCTAACATGGCGAAACCCTGTCTCTACTAATAAAGTACAAAAATTAGCCAGGCATGGTGGCAGGCATCTATAATCCCAGCTACTCAAGAGGCTGAGGCAGGAGTAATCACTTGAATCTGGGATGCGGAGTTTGCAGTGATCAGAGATCACACCACTGCATTCCAACGTGGGTGATAAGAACAAGACTCCTTCTCAAAAAAAATAAAAATAAAAATAAAAAAATAAAAAAAATAAAAAAATTTTAAAATGGGCCAGGTGTGGTGGCTCTTTGAAAGGCCAAAGTAGGAAGATTGCTTGAGGCCAGGAGTTTGAGAACAGCTTGACCAACATTGTGAGACTCCCATCTCTACAAAAAATATAGAAATCGGCCAGATTAGTTTTATTTAAGTGGTAGTGTGCACCTGTAGTCCCAGCTACTGGGAGGCTGAGGCAGAAGGATCACCTGAGCCTGGTGAGTGCAGGGCTGCCATGAGCCCTGATCACACCACTGTACTCCAGCCTGGGCCACAGAGTGAGACCCTGTCTCCAAAAAAAATTTAAAAAGAAAAAAATGGTTAAAATGGTAAATTTTATATTACATATATTTTACCACAATAAATAAAGCAATATTAGAAAAAAATTTAATAATTATTTGATTTTCAAGTAATTATATGCATATTTTAATTTCATTACAACATTAATTTTTAGAAAGCTCTGCATGAAAGCCTGAAAAGTGTTTTTTGGTTTTTGGTTTGCTTGTTTTTCTTTTTTCTGTTTTTTTTTTTTTTTTTTTTTGAGACAGAGTCTCACTCTGTCACCCAGCCTGGAGTGCAGTGGCAAGATCTTGGCTTGCTGCAACCTCCACCTCCCAGGTTCAAGAGATTCTCATGCCTCAGCCTCTTGAGCAGCTGGAATTACAGGTGCATGCCACCACCACTGGCTAATTCTTGTATTTTTTGTAGAGATGGGGTTTTACCATGTTGGCCAGGCTGGTCTCGAATTCCTGACCTCAAGTGATCCGTCCACCTTGGTCTCCCAGATTGCTGGGATTATAGGTGTGAGCCACCGCACCCAGCCACTGAAAATTGTTTGCATGTGTCATGAACATAAGTGTCCACAGATTTTATGATATAATTTAGGCCACACAAAGACCTTTTATGGCTTTTGTCTAGTTCTTACCTATATTCTCCTTAGATAAAGATAGATAAGTTATTTTCAAATAAGGGAAGTATTACTGAACATGACTATTTTGTGAATACATTTCGGGGCAATTTGAGATACCAGATTCCTAAATGTAGCACATTAACACTGTGAATAAATGCATGGATTCATCTAGTTTGAGCAAAGACCTTATTATACAGGAGTTGTCCTTTTATGGCCTCTGCTATTCTCAATGGCTATTCTAAATGCTTGCCTGTGCAGTCACCCCTGAATGGTTTGTGGGAACTCATCTCTGCATTTGGCAGGGACTGGGTGGGGCTCTGAGTGAACTAGAGATACAGTAGCAGGTAAGTGCCTGTGTTGTCACAGATGATTTCTGGCTCGCAGCTGATTATCTTTTTCTAATCACTTTCCTTAACCTGGTCCCAATAGTAGTAGATGTGCATTTGTTTCCTCACGATCATAAGCAATAAAAGGCCGATTGGCTCGGCAGGAAGAAGTCCAAGTGGTAAAGAGCAATCCTAATTCAAATCATTGTCCCTTAAGTTTACAATTGAGAAGGCAGCTGTAAGAAGAAAATAGTGATGAAAAACAACTTTATGTGTCCTTAGAGACTTCAAACTGCTTTCCAGCCTTTAAGTCATGCTGCTTGGTTTTGACAGGTTACATTTACCTTCCAGGGTTTATTGCTGTAAGAGCAGTGTTATTTTTTGTTGTCATCCTACCTAAATTTTCTTCTTTGTTCACAGTGCGAGATGAGGACAGAAGCACGACGAAAAAATCTTCTCATTTTGATTTCACATTATTTAACACAAGAAGGGTATGTTACATTCCAAACATTTATAGAGATGTTTCCTCTTTCTCTGCTGTCTACTTTTCCAGATACATACTTTTAAATACAATACACTTTCTTGTTTTGAGCAGTTCTATATTTACAAAAAATCAAGCAGAAAGTGCAGGGTTCCGTACGCCCCTTTCCTTTTCCAGTTTCCCCTCCCAGTGACATCTGTATTGATGTGGTATATTATTACAGTTGACGGGCCAATACATTATTAACTGAAGTCCATAGTTTACATTAGGGCATACTCTGCGTTATATTGTGCTGTGAGTTTTGACAAATGCATAATGGCTATGTATCTGCCAATATGGTACCATACAGAATCGTTTCGCCATCCTAAAAATCCCCTGTGTGCCACCGATTCATCCTCCTGCCCCAGCAACCCAGACATACACTTTTTCTTTTTTGAGATGGGGTTTCATTCTGTTGTCCAGGCTGGAGTGTAATCATGGCTCACTGCAGCCTCTAACCACATCCCCCTGTTCCCAGCCTCCCCAGTAGCTGGGACTGCTGGTGTGCACCATCATGCCTGGCTAATTTTTGTATTTTTTGTAGAGACAGGGTCTCACCATGTTTTCCAGGCTGGTCTCGAATTCCTGAGCTCAAATGATCAGCCCACCTCAGCCTCCCAAAGTTCTGGGATTACAGGTGTGAGCCAGTGCCCCTGGCCTCAGACGTATGCTTTTATTGCCTCATTTACTTAGGTATTTTTCACATCAGATATTGAAAACTTTTTCAACAGGTCTATCCAGTACATAAAGTACTTTTCCTTTCCTCTACACATTTGAAGATAGGACAGAAATGAGGTTTTTCTGTAGTCTCACTGCTGGCTATGTACACAAGATAACTTTCTTAATCAGTTTTCCTTTCCTGAAAATAAAGGTATTGCATTTACTTGGACAACCTAAGCCCAGCTCTCTTCTTCCTCGCAATACCCATTCTATAACTGGCAGGGTGAGGAAATTTAAAAACTTTTGGGTTTGGCCACCTACCTCATTGAAAACACACAAGCAGTTACAGTGTTGGATGGTATAAGAGGAAGAGAGCTGCTCCACAAAGTGTTTGAAGGGCACTATCTACTTTATATTCACTTTTCTTTTCAAATTTCGGTCAGGAAGAAAACATGTAGGTTTCAGACTAAGAGCTTACAAACTTTTTTTTTTTTTTTTTTAACAGATGGGGGTCTCACTCTATTGCCCGGGCTGCATGATCATAGTTCACTGCAACCTCTAACTCCTAGGTTCAAGGAATCCTCTCAGCTCAGCCTCCTGAGTAGCTGGGACTACAGGCACATGCCACCATGTCCAGTTAATATTTAAATTGTTTTTAGAGACAGGATCTTGCTGGTGCTCAGGCTGGTCTTGAACTACTGGCTTCAAGTGATCCTCCTGCCTCAACCTCCCAGCCACTGAGATTAGGGCTTTAAAACTTTTGAGTTAGAGCAGTGGTTCTCAATTAGGGTGATTTTGTCCCTTGGGGGATATTTGGCAATGCTTAGAGTTCTTTTTGGCTGTTGCACTGGCATCTAGTGGGTAGAGGCCAAGGATACTGCCAAATGCCATCTGACGCACAGGACAGCCCCTACGACAAATAATTATCTGGCGTTGAATGTCAACAGTGCCAAGATGGAGAAATCTGGAGTTAGAGCAAGAAAAACCAATCAATTTTTGATATTTTCCCAAAAAGTCTGATAAGCATCTTTTCCTCCATTAAACAAGGGAGCTACTGGAACTAAAAGTCAGTTTTGAGGTTCCAGTGACCATAGTCCTGGAGAGGCACAAAGGAAAAAAGTGAGGAGGGCAGGAGGCAGTTGACAAGGAACTGAGAGTTCCCATTGTTTCTCTTACCCATGCCAGCAACCACTGCTTTCAATAAACCTATCGCCCCCTAGAAGGGATGACCATTTTAGAGACTTTGAGGAATTTTTCTCCACATTTTATAGTAGATATTGGGGTATCTATTTTATACTTGAAGAAATTCAGGCTTAGAATAGTCAAAGATTGTGTCAGGAGGTCACCTGGGTCTAAGTGGGAGAACTTTCCAGGCCTATCCTGACCCAAAAGCCTTCCAGGTCCTTATTTTTTTGCTCCAATGTTGAAGATTGCTTTTGCTTGAGGATCACATCAGAAAAATCATAATGCGGGTGGGCTATGTTTTTTGAGGTTTTTGTTTTGAATGATTTTTTTTTTTTTTTTGAGGCAGAGTCTCGCTCTGTTGCCCAGGCTGAACTGCTGTGGCACGATCTCAGCTGGCTGCAACCTCTGCCTCCCAAGTTCAAGTGATTCTCCTGCCTCAGCCTCCTGAGTAGCTGGGATTATAGGCGGCTGCCACCATGCCCGACTAATTAATTTTAGTAGAGACGTGGCTTCACCATATCGGCCAGGCTGGTCTCAAACTCCTGACCTCAGGTGATCCATTCACCTCAGCCTCCTAAACTGCTGGGATTATAAGTGTGAGCCACCACATGCAACCTAGAATCACGATCTTTTGGTCTTTTTTTTTTTTTTTAATTTCGATGACACAGCCCTTAAGAGATCCTGAGAACATGTGCCCTTAAAGTCTTTTAAAGAAAATGAAATCTCTGCAATTGTACTTAAGCATTTTAAAAATCATTTGTGTGATTAAAGGATCTGGGGTTCTTGTTTTTTGCGTTTTTTTCCCCCAAAATTTCAGATATATGCGTTTGGTAGTTTCTTTCAGCACTCCATACCAGCCTGAGTAGCAAACAAATCACGTTGTAGCTAGATTTCTGAATGGAAATGAGAAATTGAATTCTCTATGGACTTTTAGTTTTATGGGGGAGTTTTGGTTGTGTTTCTTGATTTTATTTCAGCCAAACATATCTGCTTTTGATTTTTTTTAAAAAGTAAAATTGGTCTATATATATGTTCACCTTTTAAATGTAAACGTTTTAAAGTAAGCATTTATGTGTTTCCATAACTGACATCTGATGAAGACCTCATTCTCTCCTCCTCTTCTACCCTCCTCTTTTCCCTCTTTTCATACTCTTGTATTGGTTCTAATAAATGGTTACTTTTCAAAAAAAGTTAGATATATGCACTTGATAGTCAATTATAACACTGTACCTTTGAACAAACTTTGTTACTGAGTAATCTGATTTATTTTCTCCCCTTGGCTGACCATGTAAGCTGCTTAATTGCAAAAAGTAGCCTTTCTCATCACACTTAGTATCAGAATTTTGAGAATGACTTTTTTCTTATGGTAAATATAATGAATTGCAACATCTTTAATACAAAAACTTTTCTTACTCACCTTGAAACACATGATTTTATCAGACACTTCTCTTTCTGGTGTTAGGGAGATATATTTTATTGAGAAAATAGCTCATTCTTCCCACATCCCCACCACCCACTCTCAGACTAGAGAAATGAGTGCCCCCATCCCATGGTTAGCAGGCAGGCAGGCCATCAGTCACTTCTCAACGTAGGCTCATACTCTGTATCTCCATATAGCAGTGGGGTGGAATTGAGCCCCCGAGCAGGGCAGGGCTGACTTTGGTCTTTTCTGTGCCTCTATTTCTCCATCTGGACTATAAGAGTGTTCCTGAAATTGACAAGCCAGACAGTCTGCATGCAGGTAGTGGGCTGCTCCACTCTATTCAACGGGCACTTAAGAAAAGTAACCCCAAGGGTAGCATATGACAAAGCCCCAAGTGTCCAATCTATGACAGAGCTGTGGGGCTTGTTGTCATAGGGACAGCTTCCAGGATATGCAGATAGACTTAGGAGCCATTGGAAGCCAGACTATCCTCTTTTCTTTTCTTTCCTTTTCTTTTTTTCTTTTTGAGACGGAGTCTTACTCTGTCTCCCAGGCTGGAGTGCAGTGGTGCGATCTTGGCTCACTGTAAGCTCCTCCTCCCGCGTTCAGGCCATTCTCCTGCCTCAGCTTCCCGAGTAGCTGGAACTATAGGCGCCCGCCACCGCGCCTGGCTAATTTTTTTGTATTTTTAGTAGAGATGGGGTTTCACCGTGTTAGCCAGGATGGTCTCGATCTCCTGACCTCGTGATCCTCTCTCCTCGGCCTCCCAAAGTGCTGGGATTACAGGCATGAACCACCGCACCCGGCCTAGACTATTTTCTTTCAAGTGCCTGCTCTTCTCTTTGCTAATCTGTGATCTTGGACAAATTACTTATTCTCTTTGTGCTTATTCTCTTTGTGCTTCAGTTCCCTCATCTATAAAATGGAGTAATGGAGTATAGCTAAGTATCAGGTAGATGCAGTTATTACGAGGATTAAATATGCAACATGCTTAGAATCATGCCTGACAATTACACTTATACTTCTATTATTGATAGGATTTGGGTTTTATTCTCTTAATACTCAACTTGGTTCAGCAAAGGACTTAAAGAAACTGGAGGCCGGGTGGGGTGGCTCAAGCCTGTAGTCCCAGCACTTTGGGAGGCCGAGACGGGCGGATCACGAGGTCAGGAGGTCGAGACCATCCTGGCTAACACGGTGAAACCCCGTCTCTATTAAAAAATATAAAAAACTAGCCAGGCGAGGTGGCGGGCGCCTGTAGTCCCAGCTACTCGGGAGGCTGAGGCAGGAGAATGGCGTAAACCCCGGAGGCGGAGCTTGCAGTGAGCTGAGATCCGGCCACTGCACCCCAGCCTGGGCGACAGAGCGAGACTCCGTCTCAAAAAAAAAAAAGAAACTGGAATGTGGGCTTGGCCCATTTTATATCATCTTTTGATGGAATCTCAGCTCTATCCAAAGAACCCTGAGTTAAAATACTTCAAGGTGCTTTTCTAAGTGTGTGAAACACTTGAAAGGGTAGTTATCAGAATGTTAATAGATGTGAAAGAGTTTCGTGGTCAGGTACGATTGGCAGATATTGGGTTAAACTAAACAAGGTCCCTTATTTCAGGACTTCTTAGACCATCTAATTTACTATGTGCAATGAGAATATCATACTAAAGTCACAGTATTCAAGGTTTTGCAAACCAATTTGGCCAAGGTTTTTCTGGAGTTTTCTTATTGTGGTGGTGGTGGTGGTGGTGGTGGTTGTTTTGGAGACAGAGTCTCGCTTATCATCCAGGCTGAAGTACAGTTGCCCAGTCATGGCTCACTGCAGCCTCAAATTCCTGGGTCCAAGTGATCCTCTCACTTCAACCTCCTGTGTAGCTGAAACTACAGGTGTGTGCCACCACACTCAGTTTATTTATTTATTTATGGTAGAGAGGGAATCTTGCTATGTAGACAGCTGGTCTTGAACTTGTGGTCTCATGCAATCCTCCCACCTCAGCCTCCCAATTAGCTCGACTGCAGGTGCGCACCACCATGGCTACTTTTTGTTTTGTTGTTTTGTTTCGTTTTTTTTGGTAGAGATGAGATTTAGCCCTGTTGCCCAGGCTGGTCTGGAACTCCTGGGCTCAATTGATCCACCTGCCTTGGCTTCTAGAGTGCTGAGTGAATCACTATGCCTGGCCTAAGAAACTCTTTTTTTTTTTTCCTCAGATCATCTTTAGAGACTGGTTTTCCACAGATAACTTTGAGAATGCTATCTTCCGAGATTAGCTGACTCTTATAAAACTTAAACTCAGGATGCCAGGCCCTAGCACTGTGAACATAGTAACAGAATCTCAGTAAATGTTATTTGCATAGCTATTGAGGAACTTACTAGAATGTAGATGGGTAGAATAATTAGAAACCAAGACAAAGCCATTTTCACAAATAATCCCTGATTTTTTCTTACAATGTATTTTTTGTTCCACAAATTGTATCAGAAAGAAGAACTGTAAAAACAAAAAGACAAAAATAAAAGTCAGATGTAGTTGTTAAGGCCGAGTTTGCTGCTTACAAAGCATGCATTTTTCCTTTCTGCCACGAGGTGGCTCTTTGTATCTGGAATCAACGAAAGTTCTACCAGAACTGATCATTTTCCCGAAACCTGCTGGAAAAGGGACAAATGAGTGGATTATCAAAATGAAAATGAACTATAGATAATTTTAAGGACATATAAGCATCAGTAAAAGAGATCTAATGAAGTTCTACAAATTCAGCAAAGAGGATAGATTACTGTGGATTAAAATAAACATCAGGGAAAGATTTGTAGAGAGGGTGGTGTGAGCTGGACTTAAAAGATGTATAGAATATGAATAGACCGATGTGATGGTAAGGCCATTCCTGGCAGAGGCACAGAGGACGAAGGGGCACAGCCTAAGTGGAACAATTAAGTAAACAGGAAGACCAGAGTTTGAATGCGTGAGTGAGAATTGGCGACAGCAGACAATGGAGGGTCATGGATTCTGGTTCTTCTACTAATAGTCCTCCATATCCATCTTCTCGGGCTTAGGTAATGTTAGTAGCCTCCCCATCTCTCTCTTGTGTCTTGTTATTACGGCCCAATATTGCACACTACTTGCTGAACACTACTCTTCTTAAAGTCCCGTCCTGTCATTCTGTTGGTTAAGAATCTCTAGCGGCTCCTCCTTCCAACCACGTCAAATTCAAACTTCATTCAAGCTCAGTGCAACAGGAAAACACAGGCATTTTTGTTCTTCTGACCAATTAGTTTAGGAAACATGGGGCCTGCCATCATTTATTCTGGTAATTTTTGTTCAAGCTAAGACTCTATGGTCTTGGAAAGAGTTCAGAATATAATGTTATGTCAGTAAAGGTTACAAGCCATCTGTAGTGCATATTTCCATCTTCCATCTTCTTTCTTTCCATCCTTCCTTTATCTCCCTTTCTCTCTTTTTGTTTTTGTTTTAGAAGTGCATATGTATAAGTATATGTATGTATTTCGTTGTTTTAAAAGTTTGGGCCAGGTGTAGTGGCTCAGGTCTGTAATCCCAGCACTTTGGGAGGCCAAGAGGGAGAATCACTTGAGACCAGAAGTTCGAGACCAGCCTGGGCAGTATGGCAAGATCCTGTCTCTACAATAAAATAAAATAAAATAAAATAAAAAAAATAAAATAAATAGCTGGGCGTGGCAGCGCACGCCTGTAGTCCAAGGTACTCGAAAGGCTGAGGTGGGAGGATTACTTGAGTCCAGGAGTTCCAGGCTGCAGTGAGCCAAGATTGTGCCACTGCACTCCAGCTTAGGTGACAGAGCAAGGCCCTGTCTCTAAAAAGAAAAAAAAAAAGTTAAAAAAAAGTTTGTAAAAACAGAGGAAATGTTAGTCATTTTCTCTGAGGGGCAGAATTTTCTTTTGATTTACCAGTATTTTCTTGTTTTTTGTTAAGTGAATATGTATTACTCCATACTAAAGTTATTAATAAAAAACTGATTTAGTTTTTCTCTCTGTCAAATGAGGATTAAGACATAGTATAGAAGCATAGTGAGACATGGAAAAAGTATAGAAACTGATTGACTAGAGTCAACTGACTGTGGTTTGCAACTTCTTTAAAATTAGTTTAGGAGAGATACATACATTTCAAGGTCATTGAAAATAATCATGGCAACCTCTTTCAAGAAAGTTCAGGCTAGGCATAGTGGCTCACACCTGTAATCCCAACACTTTGGGAGGCCAAGAAGGGAATCGCTTGAGGCCAGGCATTTGAGACCAGCCTGGGCAACATAAGGAGATCTCGTCTGAAAGAAAGAGAGAGAGAGAGAGAGACAGAGAGAGAGAGAGAGAGAGAGAGGAGGGCTAATAAAAAAGAAAGTTTTCTCTTTCTACTTTCCTGGATCTAGATTCAAATGAAACAGAAAGAACTCCAACCTGCAGCAGAAATCTGAATCTGGGGTCCTTGGATGAGCTGAATCTGGGGTCCTTGGATGAGCTCCTGAAATTATATGCTAATTTGCACATGTGCACACTTTTCAGGAGAAAATTGTTGGTTTTAAAAGAAGTTAAGAACTAAAATTTAAGACCTGCAGAGTCTTTCTTCTTTCAGAGGATTTTGAGACAGAGCCCTTGCTTCTAGTGCTAAGGCCACTTAAATTGGACAGTTTTACAACTGAACAAGTTAAAAATGACAGTGAGGAACCAAAGTCAAGGTGCTACTTTTATACAGAAACACCCTGAAGTGCAATGTGTGACTGATTAAAAAATTACCAGAAACAAATAATACATTCAAAGTGGATGTTATCTTAAATGAAAGTTCTTTGATGATCTTGACTGGTAGATCTTTGGAATTTCCTTCAGTGCTCAAGACCTGTTCATTTGAATTACTTCAATGATGGCAAATTTGGGTTGAATTTGGGTTTTATCATTTTGCCAAATGTTACCTAAAATGAGTACCTGTGAATAGAGAGGTAACCAAGTTTGGGCAAATACCCATTTTAGGCTGCAAATGAGTAAAGACAAATAGCAAGATATTTCTTGGTTGATTTACTTATTTGATTTTTAAGCACTTCCAAAAACATCCTGAACAATGGTAACATCACCAGAACAAGAATGTAACTTTCAAAGGCAACTGCTTTGAAAGATAGTAGTTAAATATACTTAACAAATATGGGGCTCTGTATAGGCAAACCTCCTATGCACATACTAGTTTTCATCTAATGTGCTATATATAGGCTTACTTTTTGTATTGCATCCCTTTAGACTTGTAATGCCTGTTAGCCATTATTCTTTTCATCTGAGTTAATTTCTTCTTTTTCTTCTGTGAAACTGCCAGATATATCGATACAGCAAATGCTTTGGAGCAAGAAACTAAACTGGGGTTACGACGCTTTGAAGTTTGTGACAACATTGATCTTGAAACTATTTTGATGGAATATGAGAGTTATTATTTTGTAAAATTTCAGAAATACCCCAAAATTGTCAAAAAGTCATCAGACACAGGTACATGGCTATTTTCTAGAGATAAGGCTTTATCTTATCTGTAAAATGAGGGTATCTTTCTCATCATATTCCCAGATAGATGGAGACCCTCACCTTGAACCAAAAGAGTAGGCCAGGAGGATTGTGTAGCCATTCTCATGTCCAGCACGGACAACTGAAATATGATTATCTGGACATTGACATCCCTTTAGTCATGTTGGCATTTGTTTGAGAAAATGTGTTTTCAGGCAATGAAAGCAAAACCCCAGTGTATCATAGGTACTTTTCAGATGATTAACATTACTTTAATTTCTTTAGAGATGAAAAGAGCTGTTGGAAGAGGAAAAATGACAGAAGACTTTTTTTGTTGTTAGGAGACCTATTATCTGTCTTGAAAATAACTACGAAAATGAATATTGGGGAAGCTAATAGCTCATGTATAGATAATGAAAAGCTTTTGAAAGCCATCAGTCCAGATAATGATCAATATAATACAAAAACCCAGTATAGGTTAGCAGTCAACAAGGCTGGCTGGAGGAAAGATCTAAAGTGGGGGCCCTGTGCTTTGTAGTAACATTGACTGAGAAGTCTGTAAGTGGGGGAAGTAATTATAAACCAAGGGAGATCATTGTCCTGTTTACAAGGCACTTGTTAAGCCACAGACTTTAACATTTCATGTAGGGACCGGGAAACCAAGAGGAACATCAGTTCAAAATAGCCAGGGCCAGATCTCAGAGCTAGAAAAGGTCGAAGAGGTATTTTATCTGAGCTCCCTTCCAATGCAGCATTCAGAGCTTGACTTCCTTGGCAGGTGGTTAGATATGGGTCTTGAAGAGACAGCCCAGACTCCTAACTACAGGGTGATCAGCACTGTTAGGGACATGATCTCACTTCCAGTTGGCTGGTTCCCATATAGCATGATACCCAAATTCTCCTATGATATTGGACACATTGTTTTTATTTTAACTTGCAGAGCATGACTTAAGTCTTCCCTGCCAGATTCGTGCAATCAACCTGGTGTCCCATGTAACACAGCAAAATGGTGTCAAGTTCATGAAAGCATAACGAAATGGTAGTTGTAAAGCTAGCCTATATTGGAGTTGCCACCAGGTCCATAATCTCTGACACGTTTAATATCTGAGCCCTTTGCAATCTTTCTCTGTGAGGAGATGCTGGAGAAGCTCAGGCCCCTTTCTCTTCGCTGGTAATTTCAGTTCTCTCTAGATGAGAATAGCTTAAAGTCTCTAGATTCCAAAAGGTTATAGCACAGATTTTAAGAACAATGCAAAAAGGGGAAACATACCTGAAAAAATCACTTTGTCACTCTTAAAATTATTTTCTTTCCCACCCAATGTCTGTTTTGTCACAGCAGAAAATAATTTACCACAAAGAAGTGGAGGGAAGACCAGAAGGTAAAGTGAATGGTAATTCATTTTAATCAACTCGGCTCGAGGAGCTTGTGGGATCCCTTTCCAGAAGCTTTGCCAGCACAGCTCTGTGACTGTCTCCCAGCAATACTGACTGCAGTCACGTGACCTGGCCCAGCCCAGGACTTCTCTCATTACAGCTGCTCCAGATTTGGGCCAATGTCTGTCTACTCCCCTGGTTTTACTGTAAATAAGTGCATCCCATGATGCTCTGTCTTTCCAGGCCATGTGATATGAAAAGTCTGAACCTCAGAGGTTAAAAGACCCATGTTCAACTCCTGGCTCTGCTATTTACAAGCATGGAGCAAGTCTCGGACACATAGTGAGTTCCTGGCACACAGTGAGCACCCAAGAAATATTATTTTCCCTCTTTTCATCATTTAGTCAATTTCAAGCACTCCCAGATCAGATGTCCTCACCTGTCTGAAGATCAACAATGAGCCAGGAGGTGCCTTACACTTCTGCCTTCGCCAGTCCTGGCCTGCGGGAACCCATTCTTCTCTTGCTTTTCCCCCCTGTTCACAGCTCATCTTGCATTCCTTTCTCCAGCTTCTCAAGTCCGAATCTCATCTGGGACTTGTAGCCTCTGATGGGAGCCCCTCTGTCTCTGGACCTTTCTGGGTACACACTTTCTCTCACAAGGCCCCCTACTCTTGCCAGTGTCCTTCCCATTCCTCTCTCCCCACTCCCACAGACCCCTCCACTGTCAGGGCTGTTCAGAAATACCCAGGGGATCAAGGGTGCTGCTGCCAGGTGCCAGTGAGGGCCAGCTGTGGGGCATCACGACCTGTGGGCTGTTGCTATTACAGTAGAGCCAAAACCTCATGGGAAGATGCAGCCATCCAGGCAGTGAACAAAGTGTGTAAAATCTTAAAATGCTCTTGGAAAAAGAAAAGTTAGATTGTAATCACATGCAACTTATTAGGCCCTCAAGAGGTATGGATTCTGTTATGCCCCTGCTACATTCCCTGCCCCTGCGACTCCAGTTCCCTTGTTCCAGCCTCAGAAAGAAGGGCCTAGGACACCTCACAGGGCTGGTGGGCACAGCTTACAAAAATGGCCGTGGAGCCAACGCATGCTCCACGATCCGACTCGTCGTAATAATCAGCCTCGGGCTACCTTTGCTTTGTGCTATTCTGTAGGAGTTTTATTGCTTTGACAAAAGTGTTATTCTTTTATTTATAGTTTCCACAAAGCTAGTCAGACGCTGGTAATACATGGTAACTGCTTATGCATAGAAATCGTGAGGAGCATTTGTGGCCAGCTTCAGAAGGCTTTTGGATTCTGATTATCTTTCTGGAACCTTCTCAGCATTCTTCCCTGGCAAATGCTTTGTGAGTGAGTGGTGTCAGAGTGCTTTGTTCCCTTTAGGGATGGAGCACGGTGGCCCATTTGACAGCGTGGGGGCTCCTCAGCTCCTCTCTGAGTAGATGTTTGTATGTGGCAAGTGTAAAGATTGAATAGCAAATGGTTAGAATCAGGAGGAATAACTAGGAAAATAATGAATGATGTTTCTGTGGACAATTTTATACTCAAATATAGTTACTGAAGTGAGACATGTCATGAGACTGGCTATTAGCAAATCAAAGTGTCTTTTTCTAATCTTGGAAAAGATTTATAATCCCCGCTTAAAGACTTGCTGATGAACCAAAGGAGGAAAGGTTATCTAATGTGATGGATGACAGAACTGGGATCCCAAAAGGTCTTGGCAATTCTGGAGATGGGTTCAAAGTAACAAGATGAAATTTAATAAAATAAAGTTTAAGCTCTAACAAGAATTACAACAAATAGCTCCTCCATTATAAAATCAGAGAGCTGGAAATCTCAGTTTACCTGGGCCAACAGTGAGACACGAGTGCTACTATGGTCCTAGCCCCATCAATAGAAATACAGTGTCCAAAAAGTAGGAGGTCACACTATTCTGGAAGGTGACCAGTTTGAGGAAGAATCTGGGAGCCAGGTAACTTTAGGAATGACTGGAGCAACTGGTGATGTTGAGCTTGAACAGAGGGTTGGTGGAGGGGGCCTCCTTAGAACATTGCATGAACAGGCTTCAGTTCACCCTCCAAAGGGCAATTGGGCCTTTTCTGCCAAATTCCACAGGGTGCACCTAGGACTAATGGTTAAAGTCAAAGCAGAGTGAATTTGGTTCCATGTTCAGAGGAACTTTACAATCCTCAGAGCCGACTGAAAATGAATTGCATTGCTTTGTACATTAGAGCTCTTATATTTTGGTCGTGTTAAAGCAGACCTTGGGGATCAGTTGCATCCAATGGGAAATCAAAGTGGGAAAATAGAGTCCCTGTTTCCTGTCAGCTCCACAAGGATGGGGAGGCAAGTTTAAATACAGACACACACACACACAAACACATAAACACACACATACACTTCCACACACACATATAAATAACTTCTCTTAAGTCAATACTATTAATATAAGTTTGCATTTGTGAAATGCTTGGTTTTCATTTCATAGTTATTTCATTTTTGTGCCAGCAAAAGGGCAGAGAAAGACATTCTTATTCCTAGTTTAGAGATAGAAAAAGAACCCCCAAGAACTGTTAGTGTCCACCTCTCATGACGCTCTCCCCAGTGAGACCAACACTCACAGATGTGTCACTATGTGGACATTGGTGGTATTGTAGACATGGGTGGTCTTACTGGCTAAATAGCTGTGCATTTATATTAGACACGAACATTTATTATCCCCATAAAGAAAGGAAGTTGAAATAGCAGCTCTCTGAGATCATTCGGAACACGGAGAGACTTGCTTCTAACGAACCTTCTGCAAATGCATCTCACATGTAGCGACAAAAGGGCTAGGAGAACTAAGAAACAATGTGGGAGTTCATATTCTGTCCCCAAAGCTAGTCCTGTCTCTCTCTGGTGGCATCTTCTACAGAAACATATGGATATTCCAATACTGAATTTTATATCTAATTATACAAATGTAGTGAAAAAAGTGATTTGATCTTTCTATGGTTATATAACATATATACAGTCATACTACATATATATGTATACAGTAAATGCATATACTCTTGTAACCACAGTTACAGCCACCAGCAGTCTACCTTTGCCCCTTCTCAGTCAAATTCTCCCCATCTCCATCAGAGTTAGCTACTCTTCTGACTTCCAGCCCCATCAGTTTGTTTTGTCTGAAGTAAACAATTGTTGATGAAAATTTGTTTGGTAAATATGATTGGTTTGGGACAACATTGATGAGAGGAAGTTTGTTTTCCTTCCATAATCCCCTTTTGATGTTTATTACTCATAACATGCTGAGATGTATTTTAAGTAGACAGGGTACATCCAGGGCACTGGATTAAAACCATGGGCCAATCCCTGAATTTCCTACTGTTTCTTAGTTTGAATGGGAGGACTCCTTTCTCTCACACACCTTTCTCCTGGTCTAATGCTGCTTTTAAGGAAGGTGGAAGGAACAATGGAAAAATACTTGTAAAGCAATGTGTTCTTAAGAGCTAAAGCTATTTGCAGAAGGGCCGAAGCTATGTGGTGTGAAAGGGAAATGAAGAGGGTGAGTTGGGGGGCTCCAGGAGGGGATCTTAGAAGAACCCCATGAGTAGCCTGGAGGGAGTTAGGGCCAGGATGAACCTAGTGGGTGGATCGCATAGGTGGAAGGGCCCTATAGTGGCCACCTGCATATCTTTCAATAGCTTTCTTAAATGTGCTATTCTTAAGAATAGGTGTTTAACTACCTCAAATTAAGTGGCTAGAATAATTTCTTCCAAGGTCTTTGTTCCCTCCCTTAGGGTGATGAACGACAGTTGCCAAAATCTTCCCAAGATCAATCAGCAGAGGCCCCGGTCCAAAACCACGGTGGGGAAGACAGGGGACACCAAATCTCTCAATAAGGAGCATCCTAATCAGGTCAGGATGGCTTGGCTTGACTTTGTGAATAGCACACTTGACTGAAAAATAGCCCTACGAAAAAAAGTCACATTTATTTATTTTTTGAGGACCTACGCTTTTAAAATTGCTGTGTGATCTAATTGAATTGTAGGTTTTCTTCCAGTACACTGGACTCAAACCATGGACAAATCCCTGGATTTCCTAATGTTTCTGAACATGGGCAGGAGACTTTTTTCTCCTCCAAGTCTTCCCCTGATCTGGGTGCTGGGCAATGGGCCAGGGTGGGGCCAGGGCCCAGTCAGAGCAGGAGGGCCTGGTTACTATGGAGCGTGATCTTCCCATCTGAGGTAACTGTTACCTGAGGTAACTGAGCTAACCAAGATGGCAGATCTTCTTGTCCCAGAGCACACTGCTGGGTTCCTAAGTGTAGGCCAGGCATAGCCTACGCTACACTTCAGGTGTGGCTGGGTCTGAAGGTCTCCTACTGGACTTCTCCAAATCGCACATGGTCAGCCCTCACCCCAGACCTTCACCCTGGGCTTTCTGGGGGCCAAGAAGGGCAGCAAGGAGAGAACCCAGCAAGTGAGTGAAGTAAATGGCTCCTGACTCACGAGACTCATGTCCAGAACCTTCTTAGTTAGGACAAAACATCCCAGGTTTCAAAGGAAAGAGGACCAATGGAAACTGAGAAAAGGAATTTTAAAAATTAATGTCAAATAGTGGAAAGGAATAATCACAATACCTGATTGGTCAAAAGGATTCTCTCCCCCTCTCTACAGTTCTGGCCGCTACAGCCTGATTCAGGTGGAAGAGAGGTGAAGATGGGGCAGGATGAGTCCCATGGGAGGCTGGTTGACTCTGCTGTATCTCCAAACTCAGTCACTCCTGGCCAAAAACACCCCTGATCACAGGAGAAAAGACGAGCCAGCAAAAGGGGATGGGTTGAGGCACACCTGTTTCCTCCATTTGGAAAAGCTGCTCAGGGCCCATGGCCTGGCATCTTCTCAGTCTTCCAGGGACAAATCCTTCCACATAGTGCAGGCAGACAGCTAACTCATCTTCCTGGGTCTGCACAAAAGTGGCTAAACTACATGTGCACGTCGCATTTACAGAATTGCTCTCCAGCATTGGACTTTGCATGATGGAGTGGGCAGGTACAGCCAGCATCTCTCCATGGCTGCTCACAGCCAATGTGTCCTTGTCTCTCTTTCTTCAGGAGGTAGTTAATAACACTCGCCTGGAGAGTGCCAACTTCGGCCTAAATATATCAAGAATCGGTAAAGACAGTGGAGAGGAAAATGCCCACCCACGAAGAGTAAGTGAAACTCACGAACCTAACACTGAAAGGGGTAATTTCTTTTTCCTTTTAAACATGAAAACAAAAAAACATTATTTATGTCAAACAGGAAAGTTAAGATGTGATTTTTGAAGGTTGGTTGTGAGGTAAATGGAGAAGAGGGTCAGAAAATGGGTTCTTCTTTGGAATCTCCTTTCTGAATGAATGGGCTGGCATGAACTGCCCCATCTCTAAGGAACTCAGTTTCCACATTTGTAAATTGAGGGGCTCGGAAGAGATTGTCTTTAGTGTTCCCATCAGCTTAAAAATTCTGTAATAACAATGACAAACATTGGCATGATCCTCCTGCGTCGTTCTCATCATTTATTTATTTTAAGAGACAGGGCTTGCTCTGTCACCCAGGCTGGAGTGCAATGGTGCAACCATGGCTTACTGCAGCCTAGAACTCCTGGGCTCAACGAATCCTCTTGCCTCAGCCTCCCAAGTAGCTAGTACTACAGGCATACACCACAACATCTAGCTAATTTTTTTAATTCGTCTAGAGATGGGGTCTCACTATGTTACCCAGGCTGGTTTCAAACTTCTAGCCTCAAGCAATCCTCCTGTCTGGACCTCCCAAAGCGCTAAGACATCTGCATTATTTGGTGAGTTGGAAACACATACTCATTCTGCTCTGTCCTGTCCGTGGCATTCGATTAGTGGTGTCATCTTTCTCCTTGGAGGAATGGCTCCTGATCTAAACGTAATTTCATGTGGACCATGAAACCTCAGTTGATATAGGGTTGATTTTGTCCTTGATTGATATTTCTACCTTTTTCATAATTAATCTCATGTCTGGATTTTAAATAATAACGTCTTAAGCAGAAAAGACCCAGATTGGGTGGATGTAGTCAAAAGGTAGATTAAAATATGTAATTTGGAAATGAACAGCACCATATTGCTCTTGGTCATACTCTCCAAGGTTGTAGTTCTTTAAGCTTCTTCTTTCTTTCTTCAGCCAAGTGCTCAAACCTCTGGAGTGCTGACTTAGTTCCGGCCAGCTCTTAGAAAAACTGAACTCTGTGTGTGAATTTGGAGGGGTGACTGGAGCATCTCCCTGAAAATGAAGGGCAGTGACCTCACTGGCCTGAACTGACTCCCTGTAAAGGCCTAACTTACATGGTAATTGCTGGAGCTGATATCATGGGAATCAACGTCTCCCTTGGAAAAATGTCTCCTTGTTCACCTTCACTGCTTCTGTTGTGTTTTCAGTCACTTTGCCTAGCTATTTTGTGGCAACATTGAAATGAATGGATGTTTTTGATTGGCTCACAAGGAAGGGACCATTTAACCCAGCACTTAACCTTTGAAGTAGTCTGACTATAAATCCTCTTACCAGCAGAAATGTCCTCAGGGCACAATGTAGATGGCTTTCTCCCTAGCATTTCATATGTCCACAGGTTGCCTGAGGGTATATGGCCTGGGGCCAATCTCAGAAAACCCCAGGTCTGTCATTTCCACGTTAGTACCTGTGTTTGTCTGTTTTGCATTGCTGTAAAGGAATACCTGAGGCTGACTAGTTTATAAAGAAGAGAGATTTATTTGACTCATAGTTCTATTCAGCACTGGGATCTGCTCAGCTTCTGGTGAGGCCTCAGGAAGCTTTTACTCATGGCGGAAGGCAAGGGGACCTGGCATGCCACATGGCAAGAGAGGGAACAAGAAGGGAGGGAGATGACCGGCTCTTTTAAACAACCAGGTCCCTCGTGAACTAATAGAACAAGAACTCACTAGTTACAGTGGTTAGAGCACCAAGCCTTTCATGAGAGTTCCTCCCCAATGACCCAAACACCTCCCACCAGGCCCACCTCCAACACTGGGGATCACATTTCAATATGAGATTTGGAGGGGGCACACATCCTTACTATATCAGAATCCAAGCTTTAGGACACTCTCCCTACAAATTTAGTAGGTATGTTGTTCTTGAGGGCATAAGCTTCAGAGTCAGCCTGTCTAGATTCAAAACCCGGCTCAGATGCTCCCCCACTGTGTAACTTTGGGCAAATTGTTTTATAATCTCTCCAAGCCTCATTTCTCTCAGCTGTAAGATGGAAATAATCGCAGTGCCCACTGTAAGTCTCATGATGAAAGGAGAGACTTGTCACAGTGCCTAGCACAGAATAAACACTCCATAAATGTTAACTACTATTATTGTTTTATTTTTTGGTGCATCCTTGCTTTTTCCTTCCTACCTCTAGAGGGGACAAGGTGATATTGGAAGGATCATGGGTTGGGAGACAGATTAAGTAAGTTTAAATCCTGGCCTTAAGCCATTTATTAGCGCTGTGGCTCTGGGCAAATCACTTAACCTCTCTGGACTTACTCTCACATCTATGAAGCCAGGATGTCACTCCTGACTAACAGAAGTGTTATAAGAATTAGAAATAGGCTGGGTATGCTGGCTCACACCTGTAATCCCAGCCCTTTGGGAGGCTAAGGTGGGAGGATAACTTGAGATCAGGAGTTGGAAACCAGCCGGGGCAACATAACAGGACCCCATTTTTATAAAAAAAAAGTAATAGTAATAATTAAAAATTAGCCAAGAGTAGTGGCGCACACCTGTAGTCCCAGCTCTTTGGGAGGCTGAGGTGGGAGGATCCCTTGAGCCCAGAAGTTTAAGGCTGCAGTGAGCTCTGATTATGCCACTGCATGATGGAGTGAGATCCTGTCTGTCTCTTAAAGGAAAAAAAAAAAAAAAGGATTAGAAATAATCCTCACAGGATATGGAGAAAAGGGAACTCATACATTGTTGGTGGAAATTAAATTAATTCCACTTATAGCCAATAAATTTATACAAATTATATACAAAAATAACAAAAAAGAAATAGTTCTCACAAAGAACCTTGCACACTTATTTTGTACAGCACTCTATTGAGTGGTGAACGTGTATCACAATTCATAGACAGGAACTCTCATTACTGTTGTGCCAATGAGTTGTTTCTGTGTGTGTAATATTTTAATAGGATAAGACCATACAGGGGAAGTTAACACATAAGGAAGGAAGCAGATGGTCTGTGTCAGGAACTGAGAAATACTCATGAATTTTTATTCAAATCCACTTCATTCTGGAAAATGTACTTACAATTTTTTAAGGTGCTCCAACTTGAGGAAATCATCATGTTTAATACTAGTGCTGGTTCTTTTTAAAGCTTCACTTGAAGTTTGCCCTAATACCAGGGTATATAAATGTGTCTTGGTTTAATGAAACTGAGTTATTAAGAAGAGTCTTCTCTTATGCTCTCATGGCATAAATAACCTTTCCTCCCTTTCAGGGCCAAATCATTGACTTCCGAGGGCTGCTCACAGATGCCATCAAGGGAGCGACCAGTGAACTTGCCTTGAACACCTTCGACCATAATCCAGACCCCTCAGTAAGTGGTGAAGATGTGACATTCATCTTTCAAATTGCCAACATCCAGATGAACTCTGGAAATATAATTTTGAGTACAGTGAAACCTTGAGATCAAGTCAAAGGCTGTAGCCACCTGCCATCGTTTGTTTCACCAAGACCTGTGTGTGCCCAGGGTTTCTTCCTAAATTATGAAGCAATATTGTAATGTGAGCCTTTCCACTCCTCTCATCAGGAACGACTGCTGAAACCTCTGAGTGCATTTATTGGCATGAACAGTGAGATGCGAGAATTGGCAGCGGTGGTGAGCCGGGTAAGATCTGATATTCAATTCACAAATTTACGGAGGCGGGCTGGGGCTTGTGGAGCTTTGTGGGCTGCTTCTTTTATTAATAACAATAAATATGATAATTTATTTATAAAGTGCCCCCACTTGCGAAGGCACTCATATTGTTTAGAGGCACAATAATGCATGATAAATAAATTATAGAATCATAAAATTACAATATAAAAAGCCCACCATCTCATGATAGAGGCCAGGAAAACCGAGAGAGAAAAAGACTTAGGAATGAAGGGACAGGTGAAAGGTTTAATAGCAGAGCCAAGAGTCAAGGAAAGAAAGCCTCTTAAAGAAGAAAAAAGTATGTCTGCATCTGGTTTAAAAAGTCAGAGCCTAGAAATAGAGATGTCGAAAGTCTGATGATATCATCATTGAAAATCTCCATGAAAAACACAATTAGCAGGAAAGACTTTACCATCCAGACTACGGACTTTTCCAGCTTGCACTATGGAACCAGAAGGCAGTGAAGAATAGGCTTTGGAATTAACCGACCTGCCTTTGATTTCTAGATCCTTGTCTTGCTAGGTGTGTGACGTGGGGCAAGTTCCTAGAAAATAAAATAGACCCCTGAGTTACAGGATATTTTTCTAATTTGTAATGCTTCATATTTAATTGAAGACTGAAACCTAGGCAGGCTCAGAGGGGTGTTTAAAATGATCCCAAAAATTCATAGCTCCTCTGAAAAGCTAAGGGCTCCTGAGCTGTCTCTGTTCAGCTCAGCAGTTGTTTCCTGTATGCCTCTTATGTGTCAGGTATGTGCTGCGGGCTGGAGACACAAAGGTGAATGAGTCAGAGCACAGTCCTTGCCCTCACGAGTTTCTCGTCCCAGCGGCAAGGTGCACTTCGAGAGCATGAAGGAGGGAGGGGTGGGGAAAGTGTTAGGAAAGAAGATAGGAAATCGCTAAGGGAAAAAGTGAAAGAGGGAGGCTAGGAGCTATTCTGGGCATAGGCACATCCATGAGAAATTGCAGGTTGTGCACATTTCCCATGGGCCACCTAAGAAGCAGGGAGTGGTGGGGAACCGGTAGAGAGAGGCAGGGCTCCTGAGGAAGGGTACGGTGAGCAGTACCCAGGGCTGAAAACACGCCTATAGAAGAGGGGACGTTAGAAAGGCATCCATCAGAGGATGGGATCATCCCATGTGCTTGTGGATGGCTTGTTCTATGACAGGGAGGTAAATGAATAGCAAAGAAAAGGAGACGGGGTGACCATCTATGAGGTTTTTACCAGTGAGAGGGGATGAGGGACTAAGCCAGGCTGCAATAACCCTAAATTAGTAGTCTCATTATCATTTTTGCAAAAGGGTAACATGACTATGAGGATAGAACTATAGAGTGGAAGTGGCCTGAGATGATTCCATCTGGAATCCTTTCTATAGTAGCATGGGAGGCAGAAACCCTGCTCCTGCCTGAATGCTTACAGTGACAGAGAGCTCACCACCTCATGAGGTAGTCCTGTTGAATTCTGACTGATAACTTTGGATTGATATAAGGAGAAACTGTCAGTTGGAAAATTAAACATTACCTTGTGGAACTCAACTCTAGAAGAGGGCAAGAAATACTGCTGATATCTATGGATGCCTTGAATACCTAGGTAAATGAATTTTCCTTGTGTTCCAAGATTTCCCTAAGAAAGGATGGTAATAAGAATGTGAATGGCTGGTGGATCTGCATGTAGATCCAGGCTCTAAAGGCAGAGTAAGGAAGACTGAGTCCTTTCACTATCATTCCATCCAATAATGGATTATATATATCATGCATGACCAAAGCACTTGTATAAATACTTTCTCTAGACAAGGTGCAGTAGCTGGCACCTATAATCCTAGCACTTTGGGAGACTGAGGCGGGTAGATCACTTGAGGTCAGGAGTTTGAGACCAGCCTGGCCAACATGGCAAAAACCCATCTCTGCTGAAAATACAGAACATTAGCTGGGCATGGTGGCGCTTGCTGGTAGTCCTAGCTACCTGGGAGGCTGAGGCATGAGAATTGCTTGAACCTGGGAGGCAGAGGTTGCTGCACTGTAGCCTGGATGACAGAGCGAGAATCCATCTCAGAAAAAACAAACAAACAAACAAACAAACAAGAAATTTCTCTAATAAAAGTGGAAGTTGGCTGGGTGCAGTGGCTCACACCTGTAATCTCCTGTAACACTTTGGGAGGCCGAGGCAGAAGGATCACTAGTCCTTGCCCTCAAGAGTTTCTCATCCTAGGGGCAAGGTGCACTTTGAGAACATGAAGGAGGGAGGGGTGGGGAAAGTGTTAGTAAAGAAGGTAGGAAATCGCTAAGGGAAAAAGTGGAAGTTTGGATTATCTCCATAATCCAAACATAAAGTGGAATGACATTATTGGACTTGATGCAGCCAAGCAGTTAATCAAAGAAGCTGTTGTGTTGAGGCTGAGGTGGGAGGATTACTTGAGCCCGGTAGGTTGAGGCTGCAGTGAGTGGCGATCATGCCACTGCCCTCCAGCCTGGGCTACAGAACGAGACCCTGTTTGAAGAAAAATTAAAAATAAAAATGAACTTCCTATGGTGGAGGGAACTGGATGGGTGGAGAGCCGGAGTAGGCACAAACATCTCACCAGCATTTAAAAAATGTATTTGTATTTTTGGACCATGAGCACATATTACTTATTAAAAATTACATAAATATAAGAATAGATTCAGATTTTTTCTGTAGTCACTCAGAATGACTTTGGAAAGACGGTTTTTCGGGCTTTTTTGATGAAACACTCTAGATATTCAGTTTGCCTGAAACAGCTCCTACTGAGAAAGGCCCCTTAGCGACTGCTCTGAGGCGTCTGGTGAAATTGAAGTTTGGAAACTGTAAATTAGTTATCAGTAAAAGCTACCGTAATTGATTACCCTAGATGGTTGCTACAGGGCTCTACTATAAGAGGGGAAAAACTGCAGTTTCACCCAGTTGTTGGCTTCCTTGAATTTTGTAGAAGCAATTGCTCCTGCTGGAAGTAGGGAATGATCGCTAGGGAAAAAAGAGAAATTGGTTTCAGAGGAGCATTATCTCTTTTATGCGACAGATTAAGAAAGTGTTTGTGAGATCAAGGAACAAGAACAAGGCCAGGCACTGGCTAGGAACTATGTTGCACAGTAAAACCTAATGTAAGTTGAAGGCATATTCTGTAGCTTCTTTAATTATGGTTATAAATCGGTATGGTTTGCTATTGACTCAAAACAGGTAGAGTCCATTGTTAGGATATTTTTTTTTCTCCCTGAAAAGTACCATACTGTGTTATCAATGTCTTCTTCAGGGAAAATCATTGAATATTTTCACGGCATGCCTTTGGTGAACTAACCCAAAATTACAAAGTGTGTGTGTGTGTGTGTATAAAATATGAACAGTTTTTATCACCAGCACTTTATATCCTATTGTAAGTCAAGTATTCTGCTGCTCCCAAGTTTATTACAGCTGTAGAGGACAACATCAGTTTTAACAAAATGATCAAATGTGCATTGCAGGACATTTATCTCCATAATCCAAACATAAAGTGGAATGACATTATTGGACTTGATGCAGCCAAGCAGTTAGTCAAAGAAGCTGTTGTGTATCCTATAAGGGTAAGGACGGGAAGCCTCTTGGGGGTTATTTCTGTTCACTATCCATTGGACAAGCTGTATGTCACACACCTATCAGAAAGGGAAGGGCAGGATGATTTTCTGTCCACACGTTAACATTTTGCTTGTGTCACAACACTTTCTCAACCCTGGAGCACCAAAGCCTGGTCCATTCTAGATCATTTAAAATCATGTTACATATTAGTTCAAGACAGGTGTCTGAGCTAAGTGAAACTTTAAGATCTAAGACTATAGTATACATAATTTGTCAGATTGATTCAAATTAGCCTGCTCCCTTAAAAATATTCTTATTGTTGTAGAAATATCTCTGGTAGGGGAGAATCTCTCACTTTGTTTCCACAGATCCTTCCTTTACACTCCCCCCCTCCACCTACCCTCCCCAGGATCATCTGGGGCTTTGCTTCTGGCTGGTTGTGAAGACTGAACAGCCCCTTCCAGGGCAGTGACCAGCAAAGCCAGCCTGTTGTGCTCATTACTTATTACTGACAAATTTCTGTGCAGTTTACAAACTGGGTAGAAAAATAGAAAAACAATACTCTCCATGTTTGATTTACAAATGGGATGATGAAGAGGTAAGTGAAAACTTAGCTTTTGTTGTATAACAGACCACCCCACAACTTAGTGCCTTAAGACAACAATTTATTTGTTTGTAATGCTGTGGGTAGGCAGTTGGAGCTGGGCTCAGCTGGGCTGGCTCATCTCTTTTCCATGTGGTATTCTTGACTGGGCTCAATCACAGGTCTGAGCCATCAGCCAGAGTAGCAGAAAAGATGGAGAGACTGAAAAGGCTGGGACAAGCAGTGCAGCCAAGGTGTCTCTCCATGTGACCTCTCATCCTCTAGCAGGAAAGCCCAGTCCTGTTCACATGGTGGCAGTGGGTTCCCAGAAAGAGGCAAGAAAGGGAAAGTTCTAATTCACAAGCATCTTTCATGCCTCGTATATTTTTCTGCTAGTCTTATATTTTCAAATCTCTTACATTTGCTAATGTCCCACTGGCCAAAGTCACAAGACCAGGCCCAGATTCAAATGTTGGAGAAATAGGCTCCACTCCTTGATGAAAGGAGCTACAAATAATTTATGGCCATTTTCTGTAATTTCCTGCTGTCAGGATTATGAATTTATTTTATTGAATAACCTATTTAGTCTTACCACTGAGCCCATGTGGCCCCTGATTTTTGGATGCTTTCCTCTAACGAGACAAAAATCAATACATTTGGATTCTCTTTTCCCCCTCTTTCTTTCTGTGTTCAGACTTAGGAGTAAGAAATACACTGGTGTTTAGAATTAATAGAGGTTTACTCACCTTTTCCTCTAAGTGGAACTATAGCATAAAACTTTTAAAAAGGATAGAACATCTCATTGAAATTCCCTGGATTTGTTCCCTCCATGGCATTACAAGCTCCAAATGCGTTGAGATTTGACGTCAGGATTAGCAAGAAACTAATAGCTAGTTGTAATTTTACTAATATTCCTTGCCACACCCCTCTCCCGCATTCTTTACCAACCCTTGCCACCCACCTTCCCCAGATTGTTTGAATTTGAACTAATAGGCGAGACTTCCTTGAAGGCTACGCATGTCCTGTTCAGAGTTGGTGTCTCTTAATGCGTTTGCCCCTGAATATTCTCAACTTCCAAAACAGGTTTCACCATAGCTCTGTACTTTATTCGAATAAACCTTTACTAATTGGTTCTAGTATGTATTTTAAAGTTCATACCTGCTTTACAACATTCAAAAGATTGCCAAATGCTCTCCATATAGAAGTTTGGGGAAAACGATGTTATGCATGTAAGAGATAACTGTTTAACAGAGAGGAAGAGTACCTACATATACCTTTCCTTTCGTTAAAAAATTGCTCTTTTAAAAAGTCACAAAAAATAAGTCAGGCATTCTAATCGAGCGTGAAAATAAAATTGGGATGAATAAGATCTGTTTATTTAGGTCAGAAGCAGACGACTTTAAGCAAAAAAAGGAGACCTGAGTCTCACTCCAGCTTTCCTGGCTTGTCTGTGCTGAGAGTATGCAGGCTGATGTGTCAGCACCAAACCTCATCCTTGTTCCTTGTTTCCATAGTATCCACAGCTATTTACAGGAATTCTTTCCCCCTGGAAAGGACTACTGCTGTACGGCCCTCCAGGTAAACACAGCGTCCTATTTTGATGTTGGTGTTAAGTGTGTGTGCAGAGGATGAGTTGTCCCTTCTGTCCTCACTTCAGGACCGGGGCACATGAGAGCTGAGCAGTCACTTCCTTCCTTATGTGTGAAACTGACTTCTGTCTATGATGGAGTTGAAATGCCTGCTCATCTTTTACGTGTCTCTCTTTAGGTACAGGAAAGACTTTACTGGCCAAAGCTGTGGCCACTGAATGTAAAACAACCTTCTTTAACATTTCTGCATCCACCATTGTCAGCAAATGGAGAGGGGATTCAGAAAAACTCGTTCGGGTAGGAATTCTTAATTTTGTTTTTAAAAATAAGTTCTAGCGTAATACGGTGGCACAAAATGATGTCAGAGCTTCTTTGCTTTTAGGTGATTTTATGTTAGATTCAATCCTGGATCTTGATTACCAGTAGCTTGGGAAATGGATTGACTATTATTTGTGGAAGTTAATTGTGCCCCCATCAGCAAAACATGATCTCCCTTCCTTTGGGAATTTGATCAACAGCTCTTTTTTGATTCATGCAATTTAGGCATGAGGGCTGGGGAAAAAAATCTCTGACTTGGCATATTTTTTCTTCATTCAAGAAGCATTTATTATTTAACATGTACACTATATTTGGTTAACATTTATTGAGAGGCTACTACTGTATGTTAGTCCCTATGCTAGATACTCTAAGAAAGAATCAAGAAACTTTAACCTTCATTATTCTTTCAGATGTTCTGAGCACCTTTGCTTCCATAGTGCCCATAGCCTGTAAGATTTTTTGCTTTCTTTTTTTTTTTCAGACGAAGTCTCGCTCTTGTCCCCCAGGCTGGAGTGCAATGGTGCCATCTCGGCTCACTGCAACCTCCGCCTTCCAGGTTCAAGTGATTCTCCTGCCTCAGCCTCCCAAGTAGCTGGGATTATAGGTGCCTGCCACCATGCCCAGCTAATTTTTTTTTTTGTATTTTTAGTAGAGACAGGGTTTCACCATGTTGGCCAGGCTGGTCTCAAACTCCTGACCTCAGGTGATCTGCCCACCTCAGCCTCCCAAAGTGCTGGGATTACAGGCATGAGCAACTGCGCCCAGCAATTTTTTGCTTTCTTTCAGAGGTTGTTTCCATCTTTACAATATCACATTTATAGTTGATGTTATATTTTATATTATAAAATTGTACTGAATCTTCCAGTGACATTAAGAGCACTTCCATTTATGGTTTAGGTCCTAGTGTAAGAAAGGTCCTTCTTTGAAAACCTGTTAAACTATCACACTCTGTAGAATGGCAGATATGTACTCAATATAAGTGAATATAAAATATTACATGTTTTCTGAAAAGTGATTAACAAGTTATGCTTAAATTACATTCCCTTAGATGACTCTTTCAAAATATGATGGCCTATTTGGAAATCATAATAGAATATGTTTAAAGGATTGACTTACCTAAAATAACCTATTATCTATTACATTGATATCATTTTCAAGTTGCTGCAAATATGTAAGCTTATATAAATTCTTGTTACCCATTCAAGATGGTAATTTGTGGAAACCTACATTGATATCTTCTATTTCTTTGTTCTTCATCTTGCGTATAACTCAGTGCCAGTTCCTAAGTGGGGCTTCAATTTAGCTACACTTACAGTTATGGCTCCATGTGATTTTAGTTAGCTGGAGGTTCAGTTACGGTTGGCCCTTGAACAACAGTTGGCCCTTCAACTGCATGGGTCTACTTATATGGGGAATTTTTTTTGACAAAATACAGTATTCACAGGATGCAAAACCCGAGTATATGTGGGTTTCCCAGGATAGACTGTGGGACTCCCCAGTAGCTGAGACTATAGGCACACACCATCAAGCCCAGCTAATTTCTGTATTTTTTGTAGAAACCAGGTTTCACCATGTTGCCCAGGCTCCTCTTGAACTCTTGGGCTCAAGCAATCCTCCTGCCTCGGGCTCCCAAAATGCTGGAATTACAGGCATGAGCCACCATGCCTAGCTTCTCCCTGCCTTTCTAAATACAAGTAGGAACATACTATATGTTCCCTTTTGTACCTGGCTTTTCCCCAAGTTAATATGCACAGATTTTGGTACAGGGAAGGGTGTCGGGAGGAAGAGGGAGAGGATCTGCAACCAATCTCTTCCATATGCCTAGAGATGACTGTAGCTGAAATTCATCTAACTAGAATTCTTATCACCCTGAAGTCTTTTTTTTTTAACGTGTCATTTCTATATGCTGAATAACAACAAACTCTTAAAAGATACCACTCAGAATTAGTTTAGGTTCATCTTCTGTCATGAAAAGTGGTGTTTAGAACCACGAGCACAAGACACTGCAGGGTGCGCGAAGGAGGGTGACATACTCTCAGGACAGGACTTACCTAGGCAGAAGAAGAAACTCAAAAAGTTTATAGTATTCCTAACAAAGACTGAAGTTACATGAATTTTCTGGTTTAATGTCGAATAACCAGAAAAGTCAGTTAACAAGAATTCTCCATCCTGTGTGAGCATTGTATTCACTTAAAGTTTTCCTCTGGTTCAGTATTATTTTGTTAGGATTCTAAGAGTGAAGAAAAATCCCGGTGGAGTGGGAGCAAAAAAAATAAATTAAAAAAAAAGGAGTGAGGAAACAATTCCTCTCCCAATTCCTTCCTTCCTACCTGCCTTTCTCTCTCTTTCTCTTTCTCTCTCTTCCTTTCTTTCTTTTTCTTTCTTTCTTTCTTTTCTTTTTCTTTCTTTCTTTTTCTTTCTTTCTTTCCTTCCTGCTTGCTTGCTTTCTTTTCTTTTCTTTTCTTTTCTTTTCTTTCTTTCTTTCTTTCTTTTTTTCTTTTTCTTTCTTTCCTTCTTTCTTTCTTTCTTTTTCTTTCTTTTTCTTTCTTCTTTCTTTCTCTCTCTCTCTTTGTCTTTCTTTCTCTCTCTCTCTTTCTTTCTTTCTTTCTTTCTTTCTTTCTTTCTTTCTTTCTTTCTTTCTTTCTTTCTTTCTTTCTTTCTTGTCTTGCTCGGTCGCTCAGGCTGGAGTGCAGTGGTGCATCCTCGGCTAACTGCAACCTCTGTCTCCTGGGTTCAAGCGATTCTCCTACCTCAGCCTCCCGAGTAGCTGGGACTACACACACCCCCACCACGCCTGGCTTTTTTGTATTTTTAATAGAGACAGGGTTTCATCATATTAGCCAGACTGATCTCAAACTCCTGACCTTGTGATCTGCCCACCTCGGCCTCCCAAAGTGCTGGGATTACAGGCGTGACCACCACGCTCGGCCTCTTCCTTTCTTTTACTATATATTTTAAAAGTAACTAGCCTTAAAAAAAATAAGAGTATAAGAGGATGTACAGACTCCTCAGCCCTCTCCCCAGAGGCAACTACTATTAACAGTTGCTACAGCAGCCCTGCAGAACATTTATCTATTATCTACATTAACATCAACAACTGTTTCTTTTGGGTGTTCTGTTTTGTTTTGAGGCAGGGTCTTGCTCTGTCACCGAGGCACCAAAGCCAAAGTGCAGTGACATTATCAGAGCCGACTGCAGCCTCGACCTCCCGGGCTCAAGTAATATCCCACCTCAGCCTCCCCAGTAGCTGAGACTATAGGTGCACACCACCAAGCCCAGCTAATTTTTGTATTCTTTGTGGAAACCAGGTTTCACCATGTTGCCCAGGCTCCTCTTGAACTCTTGGGCTCAAGCAATCCTCCCACCTCGGGCTCCCAGAATGCTGGGATTACAGGCATAAGCCACCATGCCTAGCTTCTCCCTGCCTTTCTAAATGCAAGTAGAAACATACTCTATATTTCCTTTTGTACCCAGTTTTTCCCCAACTTAATATATATAACTTGGATATTGTTCCACACTATTATAGATAAAGCATGTTCTTTTATGTCTATATGGTAGTTCGTTGCATAAATGTACCAAAACGTATTTAACCAGTCTTTTCTTGATGGGCCTTTAGGTTGTTTCTAGTCTCTTGCTGTTGTGAACAAAGCTAGAGTGGGCAGTCTTATATGTACACATGTTTTTGCCTATATAGTGTAGGACAATTTCTATGAAGTAGAATCGCCAAGTCAAAGGGAACAGACATCACCGACTGCCAGATTGCTTTTTGCCAACAGGGTTGTACCCTCTTAGAGTCCCATCAATGCTTCCTGAGTGCATTTGCTTCTCCACACCCTGACCAACACACCAGTATCTTTTACAAAATAAACATTTGTCAATCTAATAGTAAAAAGTAATAGTGTATTTCAGTGATTAAACGTGCATTTCAATATTTCAGTGCTTGAATGTGTATTTCTTTGATTCTGAATGAACTTGAACAACTTTTGAAAATTTTAGAAAATATTTGTATCTTTTTGTGACATGCATTTTTATTTTGGATAATTTAAAAAATAATGCAAGAAGAAACAGATAACCTCTGCTAACCTCAAAGGAGCTCATCTCATTTCCTTTCAGAAATTACATCATTTTCTCTTTATTTTTCGAGCTTTTGGGAAGATCCTCAGCTGGACAATCTTTGTCATGCTGTCAGGCTCCTTACTGTGAAGCTTTCAAAGAAAGCAAACCCTTCAGGACCTTCCCCTAAAGCAGAGAAGCTTTTTCTACCATTTGTTTCTCTTTCTATTCCAATTAAAGAGTTATTTATAGGGAACCATTGGGTTATGTTCCTCCCTCCCCTACTAATGTTCGTGCCTTTTAGGAGCTGATCGCTACGGAATAGTTGAGTGGTCTCTTTAGCAAATGCATACATCTGTTGATGCTTACATCTTTCAATGCACCGCCCCCCAGTTGTATGATCTAACTTCCTCCAGGTTCCTCTGAAAATTTTAGACTAATGCTTCCAGAAACACTTACCCATGATTCTGTATATTCCCTGCAAGTGGAATGAGCAATGCAGTGGGCAGTATGAATGCCTAGACTCCAGGCGTGGTTCTCCTTCCAACTGGGTGTGTGGTCTAGCAGAGGCTCTTGGTCTCTTTTCTGCCTTTAGTGAGCACCTTAAAAACACGTATGGGTTTTATATTCTAATATTTCATTTTTCACTGGGTAGACTGCCACTGTTGTAGTCACCCTTAATATCAGGTATATTTGGGCTTCTTTGTGTGTGTGTGACAAGGACAGAAAGTTATTTGCCCTGAATTAGGTGGTCTCCATTGTATCTGGAAGGCATTGGGATGAATGCCCTGGCATTGCCATTGTTCTCTCAGTTCATTAAACTCAGTCAATTGTTCCAATAAAACAGGATTCTGTAAAAGGGAGATGCTGCTGCATGTGCTTGAATGTACCCATGAGCAGTGGGGAAGGTGAGGTATTTCCCATTCGGTGACAGGGAGACCTGTAAGGGATGAGCTGCTGCTGCTCGTGAAAACCACAACCTGACTTTTTCAGAACCCTTTCCCTCTGATTCTGTGATGGTTTGCTAGTGCTAAGTGACATGGAGAATAAATCCCCCATGCCTATTAAAGAATTTCTATTCTTTTCTAAATCTCCACTGTTTTTTCCCATCAACCGGTGAAGGATTGTATATGATGCTCAAGAGATCAGTTTCAGGGTTAAAAAAAAAAAAGGTTTAGGTTGTTATATTCTATTCATCACCACCACATCTCCCTTTAGAGCTCTTTATTTTGTTTTTATATGTCTGTTCTTTTGCTGGTTGCTTTCCTGTTCTTGTTCAGTCTATAATATTTTATTTTATTCTCAAATAGAACATCGTATTCAGTCGAGAATTGCCTTCTAGTACCTGAGCCTACCAAGCAGCCTTGTTGAGGTAGTGTGGGAAGGCTATGGAGTAATTTGAGGAACACAAAGGGGCTAAACTTGTCAGCCTTGTTACCCATGACAGGAACTCAATCCTTCCCCTGAAATATTTTCTTCTGAGAATAACCTCCTGTTGTTCCCAAAGATTAAGGGAAGAATTATCAAATGATTATACATGTTCCAAGGCTCTTGTGTCCACATGGAACATATTATTGGTAGGGTGTTTCAGGGGTTAACTAGCCGACTGCAAGCTTGGGAACCAAATTTTATCTGAAGCTCTCATATTTATGATTAGTAACCCTGGAGTAACCACCTACTCTCTGCCTCTAATTTTATCAAGTTATAAATGGAAATAATTGGACCATCCAACCCCATGGGGTGGAGGTAGGGAGAAATAATTGTAATGATTATAAAGTTATTGTGAAATAACAGAATGCAGCATAAATGCTTATTATTACAGTCATTCTAAGTTTTTATTCTCTGGGAGCATCTGAGGACTTTAAGTCTATGAGCTTGAATACTTGCTTGCTTTTCCCCCACCCAGGTGTTATTTGAACTTGCCCGCTACCACGCCCCATCCACGATCTTCCTGGACGAGCTGGAGTCGGTGATGAGTCAGAGAGGCACAGCTCCTGGGTAACAGACAGGGTTGGGGTTTTTGTTGTTATTGTTGTTGCTTTTTTTTTTTTTTTTTTAATCATCGCTTCTCCCCTCTTGTAAGTGTGTTTGATGGTCGGAAGCCCATCGACATTTACTAGCAGAATAAGCCTATTAATAAGCCCACAAATTTTCTGCAGACACATGGAAAGGTCTTTAAATTAGATCCTGTTAACTGAATAGCTGATTTAAGTAGTTTTTATAACCGGAGGAAATGCCATCCTCCCTTCCCCCGTTCCCCACAGAGTGGTTTTCAGGCCTGAAGATCCTCTAGCCCCAGGATCCCAGGCTGCCGTATCAGCCCTGCTGGCTGAAAATAGCCACTGTGATGGCCTCCTCTGGAGCCAGAGGGGCTGCCCCTGGGGAATGAGGCTTGCCCACTCAGCCACTGTGCAGGGCCACGTCTGTACTTCACTCCCGAGAGGCAGTCCTCGGTGTGCGAAGCCTGGGAAAACACCACTTCTCTGTGGCATCAGGTTATGGCTCAGCAGGGCTGACTTTAAATATGTCACATATATTATCTGTAAAGATTGAGTGTCACCGAGTGTCCTCAGCAGGAAGGAACACTTCTCAGACTGTAATAAGCCTTCTGTTTGTGCTTCCAAAAGCCTGAGTAGTGTTGTGCTTTTTGTTTATTTGTTTTTAAGATCAGCTTTCTGTCTTGATCAGAGGTATTTTCCACTGAAGTTTTTTACTAAATCTGGCACCCCTGGCTTGAAAAAACAGATATCTGGGAAATCTCAACACAGCTGCATTTATTAATGACCTTTAATAGTCTATCATCAAGGCAGAAGTAATAGTAATAAAACACAATTAATTAGCTTGTTGGAAGTATAAGTAGAATATAATTTATGAAATTTTACTCATTGGAAGCCATTTACCCGGCAGGGAAAAGCAACCATAAAGATGTACCCAAGTAATCTACGGGATTCATGTAATTGATTGAAACGGGACATTTTCCATGGCTTAACTGGAGCTGGTGCTTGTCAGCCCCAGGCTGGAGCACTCTGCTTTCTATACTAGGCCTGACAGGAGCAGGCAACTGCACAGGCACCCAGATGGGAATGCACCAGCCGACTCCCATAGTCACTCTGCAAAGACCAGGTCTCCGTATGCACTTGTTGTTACACATGCTTTGTCGATCTCTATCCCCAGTTTCCCACAGCCTTCATCGGCCTAATGTGAAAACTCCTCATCTGTGTGTGCTCCAGGTTCTGCCCCGAATTTCCATTTCCTTCTCTGGGATCAAAGACTCTAAAATTAGAGTCTTCAAAGGGTCAGGAAATAAGGATGGGTGCTCTGAAGACTTCTTTGATCATATTATGTTAGAGGAATTATAGTTATGGGCAAACGATAATTAAACATATAGCAAATATATGGGCAAATGCTAATTATATATTCTGCTTATAATATACAATAAACTACACACACACACACACACATATATATATACTGAGAGAGGGTCTTCTCTCTTAGGAAAAGGTGGTTGAGTATTAAGGGGCATAGATACTAAAAAACTTACACCCAGCCAGGCAGGGGTCTTGCGCCTGAGGTCCCAGCTACTCAGGAGGCTGAGGGTGTGAAAGTGCTTTCCTGTGCGCTATGTAAGTGAAAGGGACTAGCCTCAATTATGTCATTTTTAAAGAGGTAAATAATGCTGCAGGTAGACAGGGTTGGGCTGCATGTAATCTACCAATGGGACTGTGGACCCTTCAGTTATTTTCTCCAGCTCACTGCCTGCCTTTGGTTTTCTTTCAAATACCATCATTATATTCATTTACTTGCTTTCTATCATGCTCTATGTGAAAATAATAGCGAATTGCTCATTTTCTCTAATTCTAGTACGAATGGCTCTACTGGCCATCAGAACAGAAACTGTTCTACAGCCACAGGGACATTGCTGTGAATGCTGCTCCTGTCATGAGGGCGAAGGCTCTGACACGGGAGAATCACGTCTTCTCTCTCTGTAGGGGAGAACACGAAGGAAGCTTGAGGATGAAGACGGAGTTACTGGTGCAGATGGATGGGCTGGCGCACTCAGAAGATCTCGTGTTTGTCTTAGCAGCTTCTAACCTGCCGTGGTAAGAGACCAAGAGAGTACATTTTGAATGCATTTTCAGGAGTCACTAAGTACAAATAAAAATTTTATATTGACCACTCCAGGCAAAGCCGTGCTGTTTGGCTGCAGCCCTGGAAGATTAATGTGAAGGCTTTAGTGTTCAGGTCCCCAATCCTTGCCGTCTGTACCATGAAAGATCTGCCTTAACAGAGGGAACGCCGGCCAGGGCAACCACTAACAACATTTAAAATGGACATTTCGAGATTAAAGTCAAATTACATAGTATGTTTAAATTAAGTAGGACTTTGGCATAGAACTACAAAATGCTTAAAATCTCCAGGACTCAAATAATATGTTTGAATTTTATAGTATTAAAATTAAGCTTTTTTAAGTTAGGAGGAAAATCTTCTCTTTAATGCTGCACAGTAAATAGAAAGGTAAATAATCTCTAGTGGAAAATATAATCTATTTTCAGAGTCTTATTTAAACCATGTCCCAGAGTGGTTTAAGAACAATTCTAGATGTGGAATTGGGAAATGAGAGATGTTGATTAGGGAAAAACAATATCTACTTGGAGAATATATTTAAAAAATAAGTATAAGCCCTTTACAGTTCTGAGAATGTTTTCACATACATTATTTCTTTCAAACTTCAGGCGAAGCAGGAGATAGATAAAGGGAATGCTGTTCTTCCCATTCTCAGAGGGGCACCAAGGTCAAGAGAGGGCAATCCACCAACATCAACAACTCTTGTAGCCCAGCTGGGACTTGTGACCTCATGCCCCTCACACCCATCTCTTGCTCTACATTCAAAGATGAAAAGAGAAACTCTTCCGTAGTGCATGCTAATATCTGGGACTCCCAAACCAGAAGTCATTGAAAAAAAAATCATAACGTTCATTTGTAATCTGTTATTTTAAATATACTCATAATTTAAACCTAGCTCCACCTCCCCTTGCATCTAGAATACTTTCTCTACTTGCTCAGGTGATCGGCATTTTACAATTTAAAGATATAGGAGCTATATACAATAATGTCAAAGTGGAGTCCAAAGAGAGAACCGTCATTGAAATGTGATCATGGAAACTTTTAGGGAAGGAATCTTCTTTTCTTCATCAGTTTAAAACAAGGTGGATCACAACCACTGGGGGTGAATATTAGAGTCAGCTGGGGAGGGAGAAAAACTGTAAGTCTTTAGGCATGAATGTGAGAAGGTCTGTGCCCTGGGGAGACCTACATATTTTCTGGAAGAATAGAGGACCTTCTACCCCCAGTGAATACCTAGGAATTTGTTGAGAAAGTTATTGTGCTGCTTCAATTTTCCTAAGCCCAAATAAAATGCTTCACAGAGGTCAAAAAACCAGAAACAAAGCAAAAAACAAATAAAAACTGAATAAGCTTAGAAGGGCTTTTCCAAAAATTTGCTTCTCAATGTGTCATTGGCAAATACACATGTGCTTTTGAGCTTATGTTCCTTATATCATCGATTGCATCATTACAATGTGCCTTAAAACCAGTATGTTCTAACTCATATATCCTGAGCATTGTTAGGATTTAAAAAAATGTTTTATTATAAAAAATTCCAAAAAACACTAAGGAAAGGAAAAAAGCAGAATAAACCCACCATCTCCCCGTTTTAATAACTAACACCATCTTGCTCAATTTACTTCATCTATTCCAGCACCACCCCCTGCCACTTCTTTGCTGCAATATCTTAAATCATATTCAACTATAATGTTATTTCTCAAATGTACATGTCGAAGAAAAATAAGGACTTTTTTTTTTTTACATTACTACAAAGTCATTATCACCCTAACATAATTAACAGTGATTCTTTACTCTTTATATTCAGATTTCCCAATTTGTTTCAAAACTCTCTTTACCATTGACTTACTGAACTGGTATCCAAACAAGGTTTGCACTGTGTAACTGGTCATTCCCTTAAGTTGTTTTTAATCTAGAACAGACTGCCCCTTTTTTTTCTTTTCTTTTTCTTTTTGAGATGGAGTCTTGCTCTGTCATCCAGGCTGGAGTGCAGCGGCGCGATCTCGGCTCACTGCAACCTCTGCCTCCCGGGTTCAAGCCATTCTCCTGCCTCAGCCTCCCAGGTAGCTGGGACCACAGGCACCCACCACCACGCCCAGCTAATTTTTTTGTATTTTTAGTACAGATGGGGTTTCACCATGCTGGCCAGGCTAGTCTCGAACTTCTGACCTCAAATCAGAACATCCGCCCGCCTCAGTCTCTTTTTTTTTTCTTTTCCTCCACTTGCCATTGACTTATTGCCTGCCAGAGGGATTGTCTTGCAGGATGTCCACACTTTGTGCATTAGGCTCGTTGTATCCTCATGGTAGTAGGGTTGTTCTTACTCCTGTAATTAGACTAAAGGTTAGATTATTTATATTCAGGGTCAACAGAATTTTTTGGCAAACGTACTTCATAGGCGATGCTGTGCACATCACGTTGCATTATACCTAGACGTATGTGATGTCTTGTTGCTCCACTTTTAGTGATGCTAAGATTGATCGCTGGGTTCAGGTGTGTCAGCCTGGTTCCTTGCCTGCACAGCTCCCATCAATGGTGTTAGCATCCACTGATGACCTCTGCCTGAATCAGTTATTTCACCAGGGGTACGAGTCTATCATTTCTTCTGATCAACAGCTGGAAGTATTCTTGATAACAGAACTTTGTCTCTTCCAGTAAGGTTATTTGGTAACCCTGAAATGTAGTTCATACTAGAAAAGCAGGATTTTTTCTTTTTTTTAGTCATGGGTTGATGCCACAGCGACCTTCAGTGGCGACCAATGAGTCGGCCATCAGCTTCTTTCTCTCTTTCACTACAAGCTCATGACTTGTTTGGTACAACCCCATTAGTTTTGTTTTTTTCCCCCTAAAATTTTATTGAGATATAACTCACATACCACCCAATTCACCCATTTAGAGTATACGATTCAATGGTTTTGAGTATATTTAGGGTTGTGCAACTACCACCACAATCCATTTTAGAACATTTTTCTTTACCCAAAAAAGAAACCCTGTACTTGTTAGCAACCATCCCATTTCCCCTATGCCCACCTCAGCATTAGGCAACCACTGATCTGTTTTATATTCTTGTAGATTTGCCTGTTCTTATACCTATGAGTAGAATTTTTGGGTCATACAGCCACTCTACGTTTGATTATTTGAGGAACAGCCCAACTGTTTTCCAAAGATGTTGCACCATTTCACATGAAGCAAATTCACATTTCACAAGCAAAGGATGAGAGTTCCGATTTCTCCACAACCTTGTCAACACTTGTTATTATATGTCTCTTTTATTGTAGCCATCTGAGTGGATGAGAAATGGTTTTGATTTGCATTTCTCTGACAGATGATACTGTGCATCTTTTCATGTCCTTATTGGCCAGTTGTATATCTTCTTGGGAGAACTGTCTTTTCAAATCCTTTGTTCACTTAAAAATTTTTCTTTTTATTATTGAGTTATAAGACTTTTAAAATATATTCCAGATACATGCCCTCTATTGGATATATGATTTGTAAATGATTTCTCCCATTCTGTAGCCCTCCCTTCCTCCTTCCCTCCTTCCCTCCTTCCTTCCTTCCTTCCTTCCTTCCTTCCTTCCTTCCTTCCTTCATCTTCTTTCTTTTCCTCCTTCCCTCCATCACTTTATCCCTCCCTCTTCCTCTCTATCCGTCACTTTCTTTCTCTCTTCCTTCCTTTCTGAACTTTTTTATTCCTTTTTTTTCTCTCTGCCTTGCTAAACTTCCCATGTGTGTCCCATTTCCCAAGCCTGGGGACCTTTCAGAAGACCCTGTACCTGGTTATTCGACAGTGGCACTGTCTAATAGAAATATAATAGAAACGTATTGTGAGGCACATGCATACTTTTAGGTTTCCTAGTAGCCACATTTTTTTTAAAAAGTAAAAAGAAATAGGTGAAATTAATGCTAATAACATGTTTTACTTAACACAGTATTTTCAAAACGTTATTTTAATATCAGTATAAAAATTATCGTGATATTGTAGTTTCTTTTTTCATACTAAATTGGAGAAATCCAGCATATATTTTACACTTACATCACACCTTAATTTGGAATAACTGAGTTTCAATACCCAAAAGCCACATGTGGCTGGTGCTACCATATGAGAGAGTACAGATCCAGAGACTCATTTGTCTCCCTCATGCTGCTATGGCAGAAATGGACAATTGCCTCCCAACATTTATTTCACCCTTGGAATTTAAGAATAGAACTTCAACTTGGGGGTTCTGTTCCTTAGTCTTCCCCTACTGTTAGGCGTGGTCAAGGCCAGGTTTCCTTCTTATTTGTGCAGGATGGCTCAGGTCCATTTTGTACATTTTGCTTCTGGAATCAGCCATTTATTCGTGAAGCCCTGGTGCCTTTAGTGGGAAATGATATTAATATTCAGAGATCACAGTCTCACAACTAGGCCTTTTGACACAGAGCTAGGAAATACATATCCTTAACAAGAGGCAAATAATGAGTCCATGTTAGTATTTCCCATTCAAATGTAGGATTAATATATTTGATTTTATATTTGTATCTTTTCTCTAATTGTGAAAATCTCAGTTCTTAGCATTAATATAATTAATATTCACTTTATCCCAATATGTACAAATACTGCATATGTGTATATATCAGAGTTTCTCAGTAATAGCACCAATACTATCTTGACGGTGACATTCTGACATAGAAAACGGTACTGACCTGGCCTAACTAAGATGAAAGAGCTAATGTGGGATTTCTCAACCTCAGAGTTACTGACGTTTTCAGGCCAGATAATTCTTTGTGGTGGGACTGTCCTGTGCATTGATGATGTTTAGCAGCATCTCTGGCTCACTATCCACTAGATGCCAGTAGCACCTCCTCCCCAGCAGTTGTGACAACCAAAATACGTCTTTAGACATTGCCATATGTTTCCTTGTAGACAAAATCACCGCCAATTGAGGACCACTGGACTCATCTAAGGATTTGATAAACATCACATAGAGACAAGCTGACA